CGGCTGTCGAGGGTGAAATAGCAGTCGATAGCACATCGGCTGTCGAGGGTGAAAATACATCATTAAGTTCAGCAGAAGGTTTACAAATAGTATCACCATTACCAGGAACACCACCAAATTCATTAAATTTTGATACCGGAACACCTACCACAGAAGATATGTCAGATATGTCAGATTTATCAGACGATTATAAACAGATACATGTATAAAATGGATTCGAGATTACCTAAAACAAAAACACATTGAAGATGATTTAAATCTGGATAAAAAGAGTTATTTTTGTATAAATAAAAATAAGCAAATATGCAAAAATATTTCTTTTAATCGAATGGAAATCATTGCTATAAATATTTCAAAGTATGAGAGTAGTTATTTTTTCATTATTTTATAAAGGTAATTTGCACGAAAATATTTTGGAATATTAAAACTGAAACATTATATTTTTAGTCTCACTCTAATATAATTTAAAATCAAATAGCTCTGAAAAAATATAAAAAAAATCATTGAGTTTTAATCAGTAGAATTGTACAGTCAAGCGTTGTTGAATATCGAACTGGCCAAACGAAATGAACATTTTCCAAAAGGTTTGCTGTTGGAACTTCACCAACTTGAAAGGAAAATTAAAAATGACGCACAGGCAAAAGTTGAACAACGACCGGTAGAAAGGTTCGAATTGAGTTACTCAAATAATAAGAATATGCCGTGTTTGGCCGATGTGGTGAAAGTAAAAAACAGCAAAAATTTTGGTCGACATGTAATATCAAAGTACAAACTCAAAACTAACCAAATCATTTTGCATGAAGGTGACTACATAAGAACAATAAATACTGAAAAACTCCGTACATGTGCCACTTGTTTTGCAGAAGATAAAAATTTTATTGCATGCAATGGATGTACAGGGGCAATGTTTTGCGACGAGGAATGTCAGAAACGTAACCAAATACACAAATGGGAATGTGACACCTTCATAACAGATATGGAACTTGAATTGAAAAATATCATTAATTCGATTATATTGGCTATTGATGCATTTACAGACAACAACGGAACAGACGTGACGCCTTCATGGAATGTGTTCAAGAAATGTTGAAAGAAAATCCAAAAATATTCCCCAAATCGTTGGATACCCCCAAATTTCGTTACATGTTCTTTTTGAGGCTACAATCGGATGCGACAGTAGGGTCTAAATCAAGATTTCTACCGACTATTCTCATTTATATCATTTATTCGCTGCTGATGAAAATACCGAAAATCGAAGCTATGTTTGCTGCCAAAAAACAAAGATGCTTTCTTATGCATTTGATTATACATCATTTTCTCATTATTAACATAAACTCGTTTGGTGGTAAGGAATATCAGTCACTGGGTCTCATTCAATCGTTATTTAATCATTCATGTGAACCAAATCTTCATCATGACCATGTTAGAAACGAACAACACTTTGTCACATATCGGAAGAGGCGATCAATTTTTCATCAGTTACGGTGACCTTTATGACGTTGACGATTTAAATTATAGACAACAAATCCTCAAAAAAGGTTGGGGTTTTGTTTGCAAATGTAGTAGATGTGCACCAAAAGAAAAATCAATGACGGACAAATGCAATCTTGCAATCATTAATTTTTTATTTTTACGTTTTAATAAAACAGACGATTATTTTTTGGGAATAGAAGATTTAGTTAATGAAATAGTGTAAGGAATTTATAATCACTTAATGTGAACATTCATAAAAATTAAAAGTGATAATTGTTATGTTTTTTTTTTCCACAGACAACAATAAATACATACTCATTTAATTTCAATTGAAATGTATGTCTTTTAATTATTGAATTGATATCAAATGATTTTGATTATCATCAGTAAATCTCACGTTGAGTCTATTTTATGTCTATTGCTAAACAAACATTTGAAAAGAAATCATTGTATTTATTTTTCCAAATAGAAAACAATATGCACTTGAAAGGTTTTTGGGCGATCATTTTTTTTTAATTTGTTTTGACAGATAAGAGTTCATTTGCATGTGGCAACAAATGAGAGTTATTTAGAACAACATTTACCACTCGGCAGTTGAATCGATGGCACAACAAACAACTAACATAACCTTTAAATCAAATTGAATTGCACATTTATTGAAAGAAGCAACAAGTCGAGCACACAATCGGTATATCTAAAAGAGTTTATTTTTATTATACAAACAATTCGGTTTTATAAAACCAGTTTGCCTAGGTATCAACAATGGCGGTGCGCGTCAAAGATTATATTGAAATTGACATTGATGTTAATACAGTTGAAAAAAAAGCTGTACCCAATCAGAATGTGAAAGGTGACGGGGAAGAGTGGATAGAAATGCCACTGTCTCCACTGTTCAGAAGACGAAGAAGAAAAAAGGCAAAAACGGTATAGAAAAATGAATTTATTTTTATTACCCAATACCTAACGAATTTAATTGTATAAAATCACTTTCTTAAAGGAATCAATAATGGAAAAATTATGGAATTTTCTGTGGCCAACAACAACAACAACAAGTACAAATGAAAAAATCGAAGAAGAGTTTGCAGATGTTAGGGTAAGTCAACTTTTTTTTGTTCGATATAGAGTTTATTTTAATAATAACATTTTTTTATAGGGATCGAATTCGGATGATCTAAGGGAATGTCTGTGGAAGTACATAAGTAATAATGGATTATATGTTGATTATTTTGCATCCAAATCCACATTAACTGAAGAGAAAAGAAAACAAATCAATGCTAAAGTTGCATCGTTAAAGTTAAACTTGGGTGGGAAAAATAATAAAAGGGCAACAATGAAACGAGTGTTCGGAAATTTGATTATTTGCCCCCAGACAGCCTTAGACGTCCACAATGAAAGTTTACGATACGCAACAGCCGGTTCTATGCATGTTCCATTGGCATATGCAAATAGAGCGGCATGTTTTTATGAACTGCATGATTTTGATGAAGCATTGAAAAACATTGAATTAGCGATGGAATACGATATCTTTCCTGATCATTTAGACCGAAAACTTTTGGATCTCAAAAAGGCCTGTATATGTATACAATCCATGGAAAAAATCCTCATTGAAAATGACCGAATAGAAGAACTTTATCCGAAAGGTCGGAGCGTATTGGATTATAGACCGAATGAAGACTATCCATGTGTGGCCAATGTAGTGCAAATAAAGGAGAGCAAAGAATTTGGTCGATATGCAGTTGCAAAGTGTAACATTCCAAAAAAAAGAATCCTTTTAATTGAAGAAGACTACTTAAAAACAATTGATCTTAATGAATGTAGACTCCGTACATGCACTACTTGCTTCACCGAAGATGTATGTTTCATTGCATGCGAAAAATGTGCAGACGCAATGTTTTGTAATCAAGAATGTAAGGAACATAATGAAACACACATATGGGAATGCAATAATTTCATTTCAACCATGGATTATGATCACAAATTTATCATCCATTCGATTTTACGCGTCCTTCACTTATTCACTACAGGAAATACAACGGACGTAAACGAGCTAATCGAATTTATTGAACAATTGAAAAGAACCCAAAAATTCCCCAAAACTATAGACGATTCTAAGTCGAAGTATGAATTCTTTTTTAATTTGGCATCGAACTCTCCAAGTGATGATTTTTACAGTACCACATTAACACCATTAGAAGTTGTTTATCTTGTTTATAAGATGCTAATGAAAATACCGAAAATTAATAAGTCATTTCTATATGAATCACAACGCATATTTCTACAGCATTTGATCATACATCATATTTATGTCATTAAAACCAACTGCTTCGGTGACGATAGTTCAACAACTTTGGGACTGGTAATAATTTTTCAAAATAATAGAATCTTTTTATATGACAGATACGATTCAAATAAAGTCGTTTAAATTCAATGCTTTCTTTTTCCAGGTTCAATCATTATTCAATCATTCATGTGATCCGAATCTTTGTAACAAGCACATTGCAAACGAACACGTATTTTATTCATATCTGGAAGATGTGAAAAAAGGCGATCAACTGTACATCTCTTATATCAACTTCTTCGATACAACTGAAGAGCGTCGAGCTAAAATTAAAAAAATCTGGGGTTTTCTTTGCACATGTGGTTTATGTGAACCAACAGATGTTGAATTGAAGAAGAAGGCAACTTGTGATCCATTCGGTATAGTTTCTTCATGTTATCGTTTCTCATAAAAAAAATGTTCATCGTCATTAATTAATTTCAAATTAGATAACGTACAATATGTCAATAACATTAAATGGAATTCAACATTGATTGTAATTTAAATATGGATTTAATGTATTTGATTAAATATTATTTGTCTAAATATATCATACTTGTTTTTAGACCTATTGCATCGCTGTTTTGATTCATGTTCAATCATTTTCAAAAAGAGTTCAATATGTATACCGTCTTGATGACGAAAAACGTAACTATTCAATTTGCCATTGGGATTTTTTTCCATTAGGATTCTGTTGCATGCGGCAACACGCAAAGATAATTTAGAACAACATTTAACCCTATTGATTCGATTGCATAACGAACACAACCTTTAAATCAAAGTAAATGACAGTGCATATTTATTGTAAAAAGTTGCAAGTGTTCGCACACAAAACGACGAACGAGAATTTAATTTTATTACTATAACAAATCAAATAAAAATGGCTCAAGGAGGAAAAAATAATGGACCGAGAAGGGATTACTTAGAAAGAGTTGTAGAGCAAAGAGCATTGGAAGCACTGCAAGGATCATTTGAAAGGCAAAAACAAATGCAAAATATAAAGAAAAATCTATGGAAAACGGAAAGAAGTACAGACGGAACCGAATGTTATGTTGATTTTTTTAAATATTTCGATATTAATTCAATAAATAAACCCGATCTAGCAGTTGAATCGTTTAATCAGATACCACATCCATATCCCAAACATTATAAACTATCAGTAAAGGCCCGAAAGAAGGGAAATAATTCGAAGTGCCCATTAGCTGCACTTGATATGTACAATGATAGTTTACGATTCGCAAAAAGCGGTTCGATAAACGAAAGTTTAGCGTATGCAAATAGAGCATCATGTTTTTTTAAAATGGAAGTGTACAAAGAAGCATTGTTAAATATCAGATTTGCAAAACGAAATAATAATTTTCCTGATCATTTGACGGGAAAATTAGCATCGTTAGAAAAGAGGATTACAAAGAAAACAGAAGAAATTTCGGAAACAAGATGGGCATCAGCATGGAATAACGGGATTAACGAACAAATAGAAGAAGAGATATCCAAATTGGATTACAAAGCCAAAATAGAACATCCATGTTTGGCCGATGTGGTGAAAATTAAGGAGAGCACAAAATATGGTCGATATATAGTTACTAAGTATAAACTGCCTGAAAACCAACTTATTTTAGCAGAAGAAGATTACCTAAACACATCAGACGTAGGAAGTCTCAATGTATGTTTGAATTGTTTGAAAGAAGATCAAAATTTCATTGCATGCGAAAATTGTTCAGGGGCAATGTTTTGCGGTCCAACTTGTAAGAATCGAAATGAAGTACATAAATGGGAATGTAATAACCTCGTAGCATGCATGGACTATCAAATAAAAATCGCAATTCATTCAATTTTCTTGGCTCTTGATGCATTCACAACAAATCGCGCAGTAGACGTGGACGGACTCATGAGATGTGTGGCAGGAATGTTGAAAGAAAAGCGAAAGGGCAAGGAGAAATTACCAGCAACCACCCTTGACTCAATGTCAAAGTATATAAGTTCTAATAACTGAATTATTTAAGTTACTGAAGTTGGCATTCTTTTTCCAATCATTTCTAGGTATCAATTCTTTTTCAAATTGGCAACGTCATCTACTACAATCGGATACATTAATACGCAAATGGAATTAAAATCGACAGAGATGATTTACGTTATTTTTTCATTGTTAATGAAGATGCCGAAAATTAGAAGGATTTTTGACGCTGAAAATAAATGCCGTTTTCTCATGCATTTGATCGCTCACCACTCTATTGTTATCAGAACCAATTCGTTTGGCACAGAATACTCACAAACTTTGGGTCTGGTAAGAATTTATCAAAATAATAGTTTTTTTTTATTCTGATCAGAGACGATTCAAACAGAGTCTTTTAAATTCAATGTTTTTCTTTGGTGTTTCTTTTCAGGTTGAATCGTTATTTAACCATTCATGTGCACCAAATGTCTATCATGAGCATCATGAAAACCAGCAATTCTTTTATACTGGTGAAAAGGTGAAACGTAAAAAACAACTTTATATCAGTTATATTGACGCTGGTGACTTTCCAAATAATTATAAGAGGAAAGAGGCTCTTGTGAAAGCATGGGGTTTTGTTTGTACATGTGAAATATGTGATCCAAAAAAGTTATCAATACTGGATAAGTGTGATAAGGCACTTATGGAATTTTTATTTTATCGTTTTGATACACCAACGGAAGATATAGATGATGAAGATCATGATGAAGA